AGCCTGCAAGACTTCCCTCCTCTGCTTTCATAAGTGTTGACTTTCGCCGGTTTTCGGACCTCTTTATTTTTTATTTACTTTGGTGAACGAAAGAAGGTTTCGTTCCTGTTGTTTTGGCTGGCCGACGCGTCAAGAACGTAGCTTTCCCTTTACCCTGTTCTTGGCCACAGACACAGAAACAGACCTGAGCGAAGGAATAGCAAAAGGACGAGGCGAGGACGCGAGGCAGAAAACACTTGCGACATGTCTGCCTTTTCCCCGTACAGTTCGCCGCAGCAGCCGCATCCGGCGAGTTTCCCAACCGCGTGGGGTGGCGACCAGCATGGTATGATGCTTCAGATGGGGCTGCAATACGGTCAGAGCATGCTTCAGGGAGGGGAGCAGCGGTTCATGCAGCACATGCCAGTTATTTCCAACATTTACCGCTATTTCCGCGTGGATAATAATTATGTGAAGAAAAAGCTGGCGATTATGCTCTTCCCCTTTTCGCGGCGATTTGAGAGCCATTCACATGGGCCGGGCTCAGAGCAGGAGGCCGTTGGAGGAGCGACGGGATTTGGGGGAGATGCGGCGCCCTTTTCACCCACCGCAGGCGTGGGTCGCCCGTATCCAACCACACCGGCCGCCCTACCCACAAATGATGCGTATGCGTTGGACCTGTATCTTCCGCTCATGGGCGCCGTCACGTACATCATCCTTTCTGGGTTTGTGCACGGACTGCATCACTACCGCGTAACGAATGAGGAACTTTTGGGAATTGCCTCAGCTCTAGTATTCTGGTTTTTAGTAGAGGTTTTCGCACTCAAAGTGGCAAGCTACTTCCTTCGACTTGTGCCAGACATAAACGTGTTGGACCTTATGGCCTTGACTGGATACAAGTATCTTACGGTTTCCATTATTGTGCTTTTGCGGGAGCTCCTACAATTTGAAAGCGACGCCTACTACGTGGGTGTCATGGCGTCCTATATTTTGTTTGCCAACGGCGTCTTTGTCATGAAGAATATAATGCGAATGTATAAATGCGAAGGACGGACCCCGTCAAACGTGAGGCTGCTGGCGTACGGTGCCGCATTACTGCAGGCGCCGCTTGTGCTATGGCTAGCCGTCAGGCCATTTTGGTAGAGGCGTTTGAGTTGCACGACTGTGACTGCTGGATGCTTTGAATGCGTGAAGCGTGTTGTGAACCGCTTTTAAATTTATTATGTATATATATTTATATATACATCTTTTTTTTTCTTTTTGCTTTACCATCTCTGCTGTCAGCGCAGTCTTTGTGAGCTATTTCCATTCATGTAATGTATATGTGTGTTCGTTTGCCTTTTTTTTCTTTTTGCTTTTTCGTTTCACACACGCCTTGCGTTGGGCTTTGCTTTTGCGAGCACGCAGTGTAGACTTGCGAGGCCAATGGAGCTCCAAAAGCGAATGGCGTGGAATCTAAAAGGGCGTAGTGCGGTGGCCGCGCTTGATCCCCCCACGCGGCACCGCATCCTGCAATCGAATGCCATGACCTCCTGCGTTCACAAGCCGCTGCTAGCCACAATAGAGGCCATCATAACCCTGCAGTGTGTGGGAGGCCTTAGTGGACCCCTGCAGAGGCCTGAACCATTTATTTGCCTTGTTGCACGGCTGCTTCAGATTACCCCAGACCCTTCCGTTGTGCTGGCAATGTTGCACCAAGATGTCCATAAGTACTTGCGCGTGGCCGCGCTGTTTGTCATTCGGCTTATTGGCAATGAGGCGATGATGCGCGAGGCGATGCGTGTGGGGTGGGATGATTACCGGAAGATCCGTGTCTACGGATACGTGGAGGATTGGGGAGTCACAACTTGCCCCAAGGACGGTGCCGCCCCGGGCGAGGCGGAGGAAGGGTTCGGGCGGACACCGTCGTATGGCATTATGTGCGTGGACGAAATCACTGATCGACTGTTCAACGTTGGCGCGCGTGCGACAGAGAAGGATGGGGAAAGTAGCAGTGCATGGCTGGGCCTCCGCTTCTCACCGATGCTTCTGTAGCCTGCGTTGCCGTGGATCGCTCCTCGGAGGTGTCAATGCCCTGCGCACGCACGTGAAAACTATAACCAGCGCGTGCGGAGAAGAAAAGAGGGGGGAAAGCACAAGGCGCACTATTGTGCCTGCTTAAAGAGTTCGCAATACCCCTTCTCTGCCGCTGCATTAGTTTTGTTTTTTTTTTTTTGCTTTTCCTTCGCGCGCCTTGCGTGGATGTCGTCCGCTATTCTTTTTCCTTCTGCGGGGTGCGGGAAGAGGCTGCTTTACGCCTTTGGCCTTTGCTCTGCGTGCAACGGCAGGTGTACCTCATACCGCTCCAGGCACCACAAAGCAAAGGCAGCAGAAGAAGGAAAACCCCGAGAAGAAGAGAGATCTTTCAGCGTTGCCGACGACGACGACACTTTTCTGGGGATGAGCCGCAGCGTCACGGATGTGGAGGAGCAGCTGCGTGCGTGGCAGCAAACGCACGAAAAAAAGACTGCGGTGAGTTGTATGGAGTGGCGGAACCTGGAGGCAAACCTGCTGCTTCTTTTCCCCGTGGTGGGTGTGACGCTCGTCACCTGCTTCGTCTTCACGCTGGTTCCCTTTATTGGCCGCAGACACGCAGCCAAAGAAGGCCTCGGACTGGCCCGCCGGTACGCCGCCAACCTTCGCCGTTCACGCGCGCTAGTGTTTGCGTCGAGGTTCAATCCGCCACTCTTCTCGGCATTTCTCACCGTGTGGCTCCTGCTTTGCGCGGCAAACGCCGTGTTTCAGCTCATGCGGTTGGCCGCTGACGACCCCACGTGGGCGGAGCGGGTGTTGACTACATCCGATGGCTTCCTAACCCCCGCGGTGCTCCTCTACGTCGCCCAGTACTGGGGTATTTCCTCCCTGCTCATCCACGTCCTCTTCACGCCGCGTCGCTACGTGATCGGGAGTGCGGTCTCGGTACCGCCCTTTCTCGTGAGTTTTTACCAGACATTGCGCGTAACGGGCGAGGAGGTGGATGCCTGGCCCGGCACCGTCGTCAAGGCGACGCTTGCGGTTTCCATTCTAACGATGGTGGCGTTCACTGTACCGTGGCTGCATAACGAATACCGCATCGCCATGCAGGGTATCGACGCGCAAACCTCGCTTGCGTTGGGGTTCCGCGGCCAAGCGGAGGAGAAATCCAAAGTGAAGAAGCGCTCCTAAAGCTTAGGAGGGAGTAATCAGATGCAGTTACCTTTGCGTAGTTTTGTTCTTCGCTGATTTGTTCTGATGCAACTCCTTGAGTTCTCGGTTAATGCGACCCCCGGTCCCTGGACCCGCCGCCACTCGGCAGCACCGCCGCCTTGCCGTATGTTGCTACTCCTTTTTGCCTCCTGTTGACTCATTATTTTTTATTAATATTTTTTTTCCAGACGATTTTTTTTTGTGTGTGTTTATGTTCTCTTCTTCTCGCGGCCATCTAGCGAGGGGGCGGAGTTTGCAAAATACAAATGGACCAAGAAACAGGGGGCGCCACAGTGGAGACCTATTTTGTGTGTGCGTGTTTGTTGCCCAGTCCACGCAGAAGCCAGAGTTATTTGAGGCTTGAACGAGTCTCTCGCATTGCAGGCCGTTGCCTTCATCGCGGCAACGGGCGGGGAGGCAAATGAAGGCGTCGAGGTGGTGGAACCGCACAGGGGCGGAGTGCGCGTGCGCTTCCCAAACGCCAACACCGTAACCATCGAAGCCCCACAGCCAGAGCCTCCACTTGGCAAGGGCAATGATGGAGTTTGGACGGGCACATTCTGCCTGCCCGCGAGATTTCAGTATGTTTTTGTCCTCGTTGATGGGGCGGATGTCATTTCACCATTCCTGCCCATTGGGTGTGGCTACTCCCGCCCCATCAACTACATTGAGGTTTCACCTCCGCCTGAAGAGAATTCGCTGTGTCTGATGCGCCACGCGGCACTGCCGCAAACGAATTATTCCTCTGTAAATCTACTGAAGGGGTGGAAAAGCTCGTCACATACCTGCCCTCTTCGTACCGCTTTGGAGGAGCCAAATACCCTGCCCACTGCCTTCAACACGGCCCAGGGCGAGGGTGAGAATGGTTAGGTATATCAGGGGAAACTGAACCGTCAGGTCTGGCAGGTGTGCCGCGAAGCGGCAAAGGATTTTCTTCCGCGTCTCTTTACCTCCCAGAAGAAAATAAAAAATGGTCCATGGAGTTATTTTTACTCCTTGTATGGCTCTTGCTACCCGCCTGTTGCTGGGTTGCTGCCGTTGTTTGCTTGCCTGCTTGTTTTTCCCCGCACTGCGGCGCAGTCGGGGACGAGCGCTTTCCATATTGAGGAGAAAGCGCGCCAGCTTTTCCTGGAGAGCGGCTTCTGCGCGCCCCCGCCACCAGCCACCCATGCATTTCCCTGAGCTCTCGCAAAGCCGGGCAACGTAGTTGAGGCAGACCGGTCCCTTTGCGCCGCGCGCGCTGGTTGGCCTTCGCTGTATTCAGCCGGCATCTGGGGCGACCCAAGCTGTGGCTGGTGAACCCGCGTTTGTGCTGTGGCACTGAGAACCGCGTGTTGAACGCCGAAAAAAAAAAAACCTAGGCAATCCCACGGAGGGGACCGTCGTTGCGCGACAAGCGCCTTCCCGACGGCCGCGGCCCCACGGCCTGCATAAAACCGCAGACGGCGAGGCTTCCACGAGCCGATGCCTGCGAGGCCCCTCTCCCTCGCCATACCATTCTTCCCTGCCAGCGGGGGCCCTCCGCCACGCTGAAGGGGAAAGGGGTGCCGCTTATTTGGGCGGGGGTTCTTCTTAGGCATCGCCCCGCCCCGCCTCCCCCTTGCGGCTCGAGATCCACCACGCGTGGGCAACCCGCCTCGATTGTCGACGCTGTTTCTGGTTTGTCGCCTTTTAGCCTCCGCCGGATTCGGGAGTCCAACTTCCCCGGCACCTCGGCCGCCGCTTCGAACTTTGCCTCTTCTTTTGGGCGATGCTTCGCCTGGGTGCGAAGCGGGAGCCGGTTTTCGCCACCGCCGTGCTTCCGCGGTGATCGCACTAAAGCGGCTGTTTTTACGCTGACTGTCCGGCCTCCCTGGGGAGTTGGGGCGTTACCTGTGCGCGCGGGGCCGCCGCACTCGCTGACGAACCGATGGCGACTTGCAGGTCCGAACTGGCATTGGCACGGCGCCGGGCAACACTGCATGGGACTGGCTTTGGCGGGTGCGGTGGAGTCTCCGGCTCGCGTCGTCGCCGACGTGGGCGGTGGAGAGTTCCGGGGGGCCGCGGGCGGCCCGGATGCAGCGACGGGACCCGACCCCCCGCGGCGCCCGCAAGCGTCGAAGACCGCGAAGCCTAGCCACCTGCACCGCGGCTTCTTGGCGGCAGTCGCAGCCTGTTCCGCGCACCGGGCTACCTGCCGCCGCCTCCCGTCGCGACGGCCGTGAGAGGGCGGGGGTCTCCAGGCGGGGCCTCTTGCGCGGCGGCGGCGGCGCCCAAGCGCGCGCAGAACCGGGCCGAAAAGCGCGCGGCGGTCACCCGCGTCCGCGCAAAACCCCCGTTCGCAAGTGGGCCAGTGCGGCCCCTTCGCCCCGCGCGTGGTGGGCGGAATACATGCGTGTGGCTGGCTTCGGCCGCTCTGCCCGGGCGGGGCGGTGGTAATCCGCGGATCCGCGGGCTGTGCGGGTTGCGATGCCTTCCCCGCCGCGGCATCGCATTTTTCGCCCCCAGACACGCCGCTGTGGCCAAATCCAAACGGCATGCACATTTTTATGTATCAAGACCGCCAAACGCGTTCCCACAGGCGTCCGAGAAAAAGAAGGCGCCAAATAGGCCCACAAGAGGGGCGCCCTTTTAAAAAGAGAAGCGGGCGCACCCCGCAGCGCAGCGCAGCGACGCCGCAACCAAGGCGCTCCGGACACCTGGAGGCATCTCGTTCAAAGACGTGGTCTCGGCAGGGCCCGGAGGTATGGCGCAGGGCGGGGGGAACAAGGCTGAGACACACTCGATTCCGTGTCTATTCAACACG